ATTTTATCAATTTAAATTACTTAATTTAATTTTTATTTATATTTTTCAGTTAAATTTAAACTACTTTGATTATGTTTAGTTTCTATTACTATAAAGTCAATGTTGACCTGTTTACTCTTAATTAACAGAGGAATTAAACATTTACCTAAAACCACCAACTGTTTTCCTCCATAACCAAACAATTTGCCTTCAAATTTCTCTAAATTATTATTAAAGTTAGTTATATTTTTGAAAATATAGTAAGGCATTGCATTTATTTCTGCTCCTGTATCTAATTTACACAAAAGAGTTTGGTCTGATTTTGCTATTTTAACTTTAAGAATCGTATCTAATTTAGAAACATTATTTTTTTAAATAATATTATCAACAATATTCTTCTATTTCATTCTTATTATCTACTTTATTATTATCTACGATATTAATTTGTCTAGATTTACACATTTTGGCAAAATGGTTTTGTTTACCGCATTTCTTACATGTTTTGTTATATGCCGGACATGATCTATATGCATGTAAAAAACCACATCTATTACAGCTTTTTCTTTGTCCTTGAACCAAATCCCATTGTGTTTTCTTGTTACCATTTCTTGGTTTATTTTCCATCCTTTTCATGTTGTCAACTTATTTATAATCCTTACTTAAACCCTTATGACTTAATCTTGTACCATACCTTGATCCTGCATTGACGACATTTACTTCTAACCCTTTGTCTTCTTTCATCGATTTAATATGTAGATCAGTCGCTTCTGCTGCTTTACATATATCGATTGTTCTTTTCAATGTTAAATTTACTTCCCTTAACAATCTGTCTTTTATTTTTCCATCTCTAATTCCACTTATGATTCGATCCTTTATGAGTCGTTCTTTATATTCTCCGAAATCACAATTAACAGCCAATTTTCTCAATTCGCTTATAAAAGAATCAAAAGACTCCCCCGGTAATTGATTTCTATTATTAAATTTGTGAGCTTCTACGCTACTGTTACTTGTAGGTAAGAAACGAGTATCCAACCTTTCCATTATCTTCACAGGATCCTTATTTTCTTCTTCGGTGAGGTCCATACCTTCCAGGAGTTCTCTTGTATCTTCACCCAAATAACATAATAGTACAGCAGCTTCAGTTTCTTTTTCCATTTTATTGCAACCCATTGCCTTAGCATACAATTCATAAGAATTTTTAAATTTTTTCCAATTTATACCCAAGTCTCCTGTTATAACCATAGATCTTGGCTATTGCAATTGTAAAAATACAGTTTGAAAACCTCCAGGACGCGTAGAATCTGACTGCGCCATGTTATGTTATTGTTTTACATACACAAACAATATATATTTTATGATTGAAGTTGTTTATTACGTTTTTATTACATTCTGCGTGAGACTGTTATAACGGTTTTCTGTCGAATGACACCTGCCAGAAATCCCCTAACCTTTACAAATATCTTCTGGCAATCTATGCAACGTACATCACAACACGTGCGAGGTCTATGAATGCGGATTATTACCTGGAAAACATCATACTTGAACACGTAATGCCATTTGCTCCTTTTTTGGGCCCTCATTTTGTATTCATGTAAGATAATGTACGTCCTCACGTGACTAGACAGGTTATTGACTACTTGCATGCTGTTGATATTCAGTTCATGGATTGGCCACCTAACAGTCCCGATCTCAATCCCATAGAACATTTATGGGACAATCTTAACCCTTAACTGGCCTGGTGTAGTCCAGCAGACTACGCGATTGAAATATGTACTTGTTTCAGCGGTTACTAAAAGCGTGTACAAACCTGTCCTTCCGTCTAATCCCCCACCTCTCTGAGCATCATTAGTATACAAATTTGTATCGTGATTGTAATATCGGCTTAAAAGTTATAACTGGTAAGATATAGGTAATAGTCCCTCAGACTACGTCGGTCCATTTGTGTAACTTTTTTGTTAGTGGTAAATTTACCGAAATGTGGCCGGATCTTCAAACCGAGTAGTTTGTGAAGATCCTTATTTTGATAAAGCTCTTTTAAAATGGTACGAAAATACTACAGACGGCGGCGACAATGACATAGATAACGTATCGGAAGACAACCTAATTGAACTAGAGCAGGATAGCGATTTAGAACTGTCTGCTAGCGAAGACTTCATAGATGAAAGTGTAAATATTGTAGATAATGTGAACAAAAAGTATGTATATAGCAAAAATCGGTATAGATGGTGTACGTCGGAAGTTTTGCCTTCATCTCGGACCCGAAAGCTTAATATTATAACCATGAGTAAGAAGAGATTTGCTGTTCTTTTGACGGCTATACGATTCGACAATTCTCAGAACAGGGGAGAGCGGAAGAAGAACGATCCGGTTGCAGCAATTTCATTTATTTTCAACACATTTGTAGAAAATTGTCAAAATGTTTATGGACTTGGACAGTCTGTTACTATAGATGAAATGCTTGTAAGCTTCCGAGGAAGGTGCCGCTTCAAAGTGTACTAATAAACCGGCAAAGTACGACCTCAAAATACTGTGCCTTACCCGATGCACGAAACAGTTATCTATATAACACATACATCTATACGGGAAAAGAGTCTGATAGTTTTGGTCTCAATGGTGAAGAGAACAATTACTAAAGCCTACTCAAGCTGTGTTACGTTTAGCGAAACCAATTTTTAACAGCAATCGTAATATTACAGCTGACAATTGGTACTCTTCCATACAAGTAATTGATCTGTTATGGAAAACCCAATAAAAAAAGAGCAGCTAACTCAATACTGTATGGATTCAGGGAAGAATGCACGTTGATTTCATATGTTGGTAAAATTGGAAAAGCCACGATACTAATATCGTCCATGCATAACAGACGATTTGATGATCCATTAGTACAGAAACCCGAAATAGTTTCCTACTACAATGAAAATAAAGGCGGAGTAGATTCTCTAGACGAAAAGTGTTCGAAAAGTACCTGAAGTCGTCGCACTCGAAGATGGCCTTTAGTAATTTTTTTTCGCCTACTAGATATTTCTGTGATCAATTCATATATCTTACACTAATGTTATAGAGATAATCCGACCATTAAAGAAAAAAGTATTTTGAAATGCAGGTTAGCCAAGCAATTGGTAGAGGATCACATGAGACGGCGCGGCGTTTGACGATGACGGCTATCCCACGCGAACTACGCAGTACTATTGGTAGAATACTTGCAGTCCCAGGTGCAGAAGAACCCAAGACATATGATCTGATTCTAGAAAAACGTAAAATTTGCTACTTGTGTCCTTCAAAGAAACATAGAATGACAAAATACTTGTGCCTTACTTGCAAAAAGCCAGTTTGACTGCCCTAAAAAATAAGAAACTTTGACCCTTGCTGGAATATGATATTTTTGTCAAATTTATTTTTCCTTTATTTTTTAGTTTGTCTAATACCTAACATAACTAATAATATAAACGAAAGATTGTTAAGTTTTTATAATAATTAAGTACTTACCATGAAACTAGATTTAATTAATTTTTCGGAAAAAATTATAATTTAGGTAAACTCTTTTTATATATTGCTTTAGTTAAGTTTATTTCTATGCAGACAAGTTTCAATATCTATAGTATCCAGCAATGAATAAAATATTGAGTTTATTTGCACATTTGCAGTTTTATTAACCTATTAAGTTAAGTAGTCCTGGAGACTACGCTTGACTGTCAGTGCGACAAATGAGTCACCGGACCAGTTAAGGGTTAAAAAAAAGGTCCGTGGTCGTAGACTCCCACCTACCAACCACAATCAACTGGTGGATGCAGTAATTAAAGAATGGGACAATATTCCCCAGGATACAATTCAAAATTTAATCGCTAGCATGCCAAGGCGTATGAATGCGGTAATTAGGTGTAGAGGAAGACCTACAAGGTACTAATGTCACACTGGATTTTCTCATTCGATTGTTTAAACATTTTTCATTTTGATTTTCGTTTTCATATCTCACACATTTTCAACAAAAGGCGTATTAATGATTTAAAATAAGATCATGTTTCGCTGATTCCTTTTTCAACCAATTTTATAAACCCAATTTGTAAGCTTTCATTCTAATTTAATTTTATTATATTCTTAGTAATTTAATTATTTACGTTTAATAAAGTGGTGCGTTAATTTTGTCTAGGAGCTTATGTTCAACAAATATAAAGAAAAATATGTGGTTTTATGTAAACTAAAAATTTTTATTCGTAGCCAAAATTTGTATCATATAAAAAATACGATTTTTTTCCATCGCATTTAAAAAATCGTAATTATTTTTCTAAAGCAAAACGAATTGAAGAGGGTTTCAGCGTTATAAATAAGTCAGAAAATTTTTGCTTGATGAAGAATTGCCAAGCGAACTCGACACTGTTATGTAGCAAAATGTCGTGAAAAAAAACCCGAGATATATGACCGGTTGCAACCTGAAATTAATGGACGAGCAATATTTTTGCCAATGAAAAATTCCTTTCTACTCCACTCGGTAAAAAAAAATTTTTTTGTGGAACTTTAACGCTCTTCCCGGAATTTAAAACTCGATTTGCTTTAAATTGAATCAAATTTAATTTAATTTCTTTAAATTAACTTTTTATTTTGATTATTTTTTTTCTGCTTTTAAGCTTTAAAACGTTTTAAGTACTTGGAAAGGGATTTGAAAGAGAAAACAAATGATTTTCGTTTATAAAGTAGATTTCAAAAATGCTTTTTAATTAAGTTTTGTTGGGTTTCGTAAAGCTTGAACTAAATTGTAGTACTTCTAACGCAAAACAATACGTTTAATGAATACAAAGCAAGAGCAAACATGAGAAAGTAAATGACACAATTTTCATATTCCATTCGTTTTTGAGGTTTAATTTAAACTTCTCTCGTTTTAATTTCGTATTAAAAAGATTGTTTTAATTAATTTTCATTTCTCAATCTGCGTTTTAAAAGACTTCATTTAAATCCAATTTAAGATATAAATAATTTCTTGAATTATTAAAATTAATAAATTTTGATTAATTTAATTTAGAACTTACTTTTTTTTAATTTAAACCCAATTTTCTTATCTTGAATAACTTATTTTTTATAACAAGAATTCACTTAATCATTTAATAGAAACAAAAGTTTATTTAAAAAATAAGTTATATAGTAATACTCGAGTTTTTGCGTGGTAAACATCCGTTTAGCTTTAACTTTCGATCCACTAGGTTCCGGTTTCCACGGTGTACTAACCAAACAAATATCATCTACGATCAGAAAGATGAACGTTTCTGCAATGGATCTCCATAGCGACAAACTCGCGCATGCCACGTTCAACAGGTTGAAACAAGAACGAAAGTTTCATAATTTCTCTCATCATCTCGACAGTCTTAATTTGGTTTTAATTAAAATTAATTGAAAAATGTGAATAAACAAAAAGCAAAAAGTTTATTTATCAAAAGGGAAAAGGTTTTGATTGATGATTTTAATTATAATAAATGGAAATTTATGGGAAATAAACTTTGAATAACTTAGTTTGCGGGCTTTTAAAAGATAAAAGGTAAATTTTCAATAATAATATTCATTTTATTAACTGATTTAATATAAAATTTTGTAATTAATAAAGAAACATTTAATAAATATGACAAATATAAAGTAAATAAAATCAAATTTAACAATAATTATTGTTATAAGAATCGATTGATAGAAGAAAAACATCAATACAGAGTGGTATTGACTTTATTAAAATATTGGATCAAGATGGGAATGGGGATACGTCTGAAAACGTAAAGCTTTTAGTGCTTCTGGTACGTTGAAAACAACAACAGATTTAGATATTACAAAGACGGTTTCAACAGGGAGGCGTAAAAACATTACCGAAAACAAAAGGAGAGGTTATTGTTGTTTTTTACGCACTTAGTTGGATTATTCGGTTCCGCTTTTATCTTTTTTAGCAAAAATCGTACCTTGTCGTAATTTGTTATTTATAAGTATGTACAGGCCCGGTTCTACCGAGTGTGCGAAGCGTGCACACACGAAGGCGGCCGAACATACAGGGCGGCCGGCCGTCATATGCACAGACGAAATATTAAAAAAAAACCATATTGAAATATTCAGTTTGCGTCATCATACGACGCGACGGAAATTACTCAAACTTCGAATGCCTTCAGCGGCATCTATCTAGTCGTCGAAAGTAAAACTACACCGTGCTACCAACCATAAATAAAAAAAATTGGTTCTGATTTTTTTGTTGGCAACACTTACCTCTTTTAAGTAAAATTTAAAATCGTTAAAAATGTTTCCTAACCGGTCAGCGCTAACCTCTAGTTCGGTTNAATAAGTTTCATTCCTTAATTTCAATAAATGCGGCTTCCAGGAATTTTTAAATTAGCTTCTTTTTTGACACTTTTAGGTTATTCGAAAATGTTAGTTTTAACTCAATACTCTTTTTCTCAATATTTTTCTAATTCAACCCATCGATTATTATACATCGATTTAAACAGAAAGCTTTAAGTTTCAATTTAAAATAAGTTTTATTTCTTAATTTCAATAAACACGGTTTCCAGGAATTTTTGAATTGAATTAAAATTTTATTCCAAAGGCCTTTACTGATTGTGAGTGTATTTTGATAGCGTTTTAATTCTGTCTGATTCTGTCACAAAGTTTGAAAATGTTTGACTTCTTGGGACACAAAGGGTTAACATAAGCATAAAGATCGAAGATGTCAGAAAGGAAGACAAAGCGTTAATCTGGTGCTTTGTATAGAAAGCGTAAAGCGGAAAAAGATAAGCAAGAAGAAAAATTACGAAATTCTATGCTTAAGTTTGTTAAGTTAGATGAAGATAATAATCCAGTTTCGACTTCAGCGATGAATTTTTCTATCGACGAAGCAACATCTGATAATATTAGTAACATTACTATCCCAACTGATGACATTACCAGTATTACCACTATTCCTGCAAGTTCCGCGTATGAAAAAAAAAATACTGAAATAGAAATTGATAATGTATCTTCGACCTCATCAACTATAAATCTACACGACCCCTCTACTTGGCCAGCAATAATCAATAACCGATTATTGGAAATTCTCGTTGAAAAAGGACCTCCATCGATTCAACAAAACATAAAATTTCCTACAAATACAAACAGCGATGGAAGATCGTTCTCACCGTCACAATACTTTCGAATATTACCAAATGGTGAAAAGATTGAAAGAAAATGGTTGGTGTACTCACTCAAGGCAAACAGCACATTTTGTTATTGTTGCAAATTATTTTCCATTAAATCAATGAAATTAACAAGAATTTGGCTACACAATTATCCCGACATGAATCAAGTATTGATCATATGTTCAATTATCAAATGTGGAATGAATTGAAAAAAAGACTTAGTAAGAATTGTACTATAGACTGTGAACAACAACGTATCACCAGAATTGTTGCAATTGTACAGTATTTAGCAGGACAATGTTTAGCTTTTAGAGGTGATTCTGATGTATTATATGAACTAAATAACGGAAATTTTCTAAAAGGTACAGAAATGCTGGCGAAATTTGATCCAATTATTTCAAATCATATCAATAATATTCAAAAAAGTAAGAAGTACAGTTACATGCCTCATTACCTAGGAATGAAATTATTTCTCCAATTCCTCCAAAATGAAATTATTACGGAACTGGCTAATTCGATAAAGACAAAAATTCAAGAGTTAATAAAAAAATCGAAATATTTTTCTGTTATTTTAGATTGTACGCCAGATGTAACGCATGTTGAACAAATTTCTTTTGTAGCCAGAATAGTGGATATGAGTACATCGCCTATTGAAATTAAAGAACTATTTCTTGGGTTCTATCCAGTATTGGATGCAACTGGAGAAGGATTGTTTAATTTCTTTACCAATGAATTATTAAGTACTTATGATTTAGATGTACAAAACATACGTGGCCAAGGATTATGATAACGGTTCCAACATGAAGGGGAAAAAGAGTGGTCTGCAATGTAGACTTAAGAATGTAAACGCAAGGGCTATGTATACACCTTGTGCATCCCACTCGTTAAATTTAGTGGTAAATGATGCAGCTAAGCAAACTTTTGAAATTGTTGGCTTTTTTAATATCGTACACGAATTATATACGTTTTTTTCTGTGTCTCCTTATACATGGAATATTTTAAAAACAAATATTACTAAACTAACATTACAACCAGTGTGCGAAACTAGATGGGAGAGCAGAGTAAAAGCCATAAGACCTCTAAAATTACAATTAAAAGACGTCATAAAAAGTTTAAATATGCTGCTAGAGGATGACTCCAGAGACGTAAAAACGAAAGTTGCAGCAAATGCTTTATTAAACAATATATCTACTTTTTAATTTATTTGCTCAATTTTAATATGAGATGATATTCTTTCATCATATTGCCAGTAAGCTACTACAATCGTCCACAACAACAATTAATGAATCTGTGAAATCACTCAACAAAATTATTGACTTCTTAAATTCATCTAGGTGTGATGCAGCTTTCAATAAGTATATTAACGATGCTACAACATTACCAACCGATCTAGATATAGAGATAGAATTTCCTTTGAAGAGGCAGAAAAAAAAAGTTCGTATTTTCGATTATGAATGCCATGATGAACGGATTCAAGATCCAAAATTATTGTTTTAAGTGGAATTTTATTTTACACTTTTGGACACAGCTCTAAATTCTATTCAAGAAAGATTTACTTCGTTAAATGAGTGCAACGCATTGTTCAAATTTTTAATTGAATTCAGAAATATGTCTGAAGATGATCTAAGAAAATCTTGTGCAGACTTTGATATAGCTTTGCATGTTCGAAATAACGATGATATCTCTAGGGATGTTGACGGTGAAGATTTGTACAACGAATTGATAATGTACAACCCTTTAAAGAATTTACAATTCATTCAAACCAGTGGTTTAATTTCATCCTTTTCCAATTTTTCTGTTGCCTTGAGAATATATTTAACACTACCAGTCACAGTTGCAACAGGTGAAAGGAGTTTTTCTAAGTTAAAATTAATTAAATCATATTTAAGATCATCTATGTGCCAAGAGAGACTTAGTAACTTAAGTTTAGTAGCAATAGAAAAAGAATTGTCAGAAGAAATTAATTTAGATACCGTTATTGACGAACTTGCAAATAAAAAAGCACGAAAAGTGCAGTTTTAGTGCAATATCAGTTTTTTAGTTTTTGAAATTTTTTTTAACTATTTGTTATTTAACTAATAATCAATTTTTATTCATTCCTTTATCAATTCCAATTAATAATAAATACAAGATCTTTAAAAAGGTGGCTCTGTCGGGGGCGGCTGAAATTAAATGGCACGATAATAACTTCATCCCTAGAACCGGGTCTTTTTGTACACAGCACTAGGTCTGGAGTTGTGCTATCTTTCTTATTCATTATGGATGTGGGTGGAGTGTGTATTTGAACAAAGTTTGTTCTATCAAGGAATTCTTTATACCTTAATTTTATTTTACAACTTTTTATACTTTAATTTTGTAAATTAGTAACTAATAATCTGATTTCGACTTTGATATGTAAACTTTTTTAANAATTTTCTAAAAGGTATAGAAATGCTGGCGAAATTTGATCCAATTATTTCAAATCATATCAATAATATTCAAAAAAGTAAGAAGTACAGTTACATGCCTTATTACCTAGGACACTTTCCAAAATGAAATTATTACGGAACTGGCTAATTCGATAAAAACAAAAATTCAAGAGTTAATAAAAAAATCGAAATATTTATCTGTTATTTTAGATTGTACGCCAGATGTAACGCATGTTGAACAAATTTCTTTTGTAGCCAGAATAGTGGATATGAGTACATCTCCTGTTGAAATTAAAGAACTATTTCTTGGGTTCTATCCAGTATTGGATGTAACTGGAGAAGGATTGTTTAATTTCTTTACCAATGTACGTGGCCAAGGATTATGATAACGGTTCCAACATGAAGGGGAAAAAGAGTGGTCTGCAATGTAGACTTAAGAATGTAAACCCAAGGGCTATGTATATACCTTGTGGGATGCACTCGTTAAATTTAGTGGTAAATTATGCAGCTAAGCAAACTTTTGAAATTGTTGGCTTTTTTAATATTGTACACCAATTATATACGTTTTTTTCTGCGTCTCCTTATAGATGGAATATTTTAAAAACAAATATTACTAAACTAACATTACAACCAGTGTGCGAAACTAGATGGGAGAGCAGAGTAAAAGCCATAAGACCTCTAAAATTACAATTAAAAGACGTCATAAAAAGTTTAAATATGTTGCTAGAGGATGACTCCAGAGACGTAAAAACGAAAGTTGCAGCAAATGCTTTATTAAACAATATATCTACTTTTAAATTTATTTGCTCAATTTTAATATGGGATGATATTCTTTCAAATATTAATATTGCCAGTAAGCTACTACAATCGTCCACAACAATAATTAATGAATCTGTGAAATCATTCAACAAAATTATTGACTTCTTAAATTCATCTAGGTGTGATGCAGCTTTCAATAAGTATATTAACGATGCTACAACATTAGCAACCGATCTAGATATAGAGATAGAATTTCCCTTGAAGAGGCAAAAAAAAAGTTCGTATTTTCGATTATGAATGCCATGATGAACGGATTCAAGATCCAAAATTATTGTTTAAAGTGGAATTTTATTTTACACTTTTGGACACAGCTCTAAATTCTATTCAAGAAAGATTTACTTCGTTAAATGAGTGCAACGCATTGTTCAAATTTTTAATTGAATTCAGAAATATGTCTGAAGATGATCTAAGAAAATCTTGTGCAGACTTTGATATAGCTTTGCATGTTCGAAATAACGATGATATCTCTAGGGATGTTGACGGTGAAGATTTGTACAATGAATTGATAATGTACAACCCTTTAAAGAATTTACAATTCATTCAAACCAGTGGTTTAATTTCATCCTTTTCCAATTTTTCTGTTGCCTTGAGAATATATTTAACACTACCAGTCACAGTTGCAACAGGTGAAAGGAGTTTTTCTAAGTTAAAATTAATTAAATCATATTTAAGATCATCTATGTGCCAAGAGAGACTTAGTAACTTAAGTTTAGTAGCAATAGAAAAAGAATTGTCAGAAGAAATTAATTTAGATACCGTTATTGACGAACTTGCAAATAAAAAAGCACGAAAAGTGCAGTTTTAGTGCAATATCAGTTTTTTAGTTTTTGAAATTTTTTTTAACTATTTGTTATTTAACTAATAATCAATTTTTATTCATTCCTTTATCAATTCCAATTAATAATAAATACAAGATCTTTAAAAAGGTGGCTCTGTCGGGGGCGGCTGAAATTAAATGGCACGATAATGACTTCATCCCTAGAACCGGGTCTGGGATTGATAGTGAGATACCCATGGATACTATAGTAGTATTGATAATGTTTCCCTCTCTGCACGTTTTTTGGCCATCATTTTTGACCTAGAGTCTTCTGCTCCTTCATTTATCAGTACATGTACTTCTTTGTTCTTTAAATGTTTTTTGCTGCCTTTATGTTTTTCGAAACAGTTCTTTTTAGAACTATCGTTGTTTCTAGCGGTTGCTTTAAGTGGTAAGTCAATAAGCAAATCAAAATAACGAAAACGTACAGTGAGAATTTCTTTTAGATTTTAATTTTTTTCGTTATGGCGTTTACACCGGAACAGGATGCCTTTATTTTAATGGCACATTATCGAAGCGGCACTCAGGATGCGAACCTTTCTCCTTACAAAGCTGCATGCAGCAATTCTACCAACGCTTTCCAGACATTGACGTTGATTATGACACTTTTAAGCATACAAGGAAACATGTGGTTGTAACTCGTTTTGAAAAGCGAAATTGCATTTGCAAACAAAAACCTAGTGGTAGGAAAGCTAAAATAACCGATGATGTTGTAGAAGACATTCGTGAGCGAATGGACCGCGGTCTTAACAAATCAATGACAAGGTTATCTACGCAAACGGGTTTGTTAATTTTTTTATTAAAACTTAATTACATCGCTATAATATTATAATTTTAACAGGACTTAGCGTTGCCAGCTGTCACAAAGTTGTTTCAAAACAACTTCAAATGCATCCCTACAATGTTACTGTAGTGCATCGATTTCAACCACTTGATTACGACAGACGAGTAACTTTTTGTCATTGGTAAATGTTATATATTCTTGTAACACAACACTGGATATTTAATAAATATTTTATTAAGTATAAATTAACGTACATTCTTAGCTTACACTTATTCTAAGATTTTAGTTACCGCCATTTTACAGACATGACATGACAAGTTCTTTTTTGGTTAATGTTCGGTAAGAGCGTAGCGCCCTCTTTTAGTTGTTATTACAAACATTATGTCTACTATACTACATTCTCTCCCTACCTAAATAAGATTACAAATTTAGTCTTATAGGAGGTTTCGATATACGACCTGAACGAGTAGATACTGCTTTATTTGAATCAGGTGTACGTCGTGTATTTAAACTTGTAGTTTGCGTTTCAAGTTCTCTACTATTACCTTTAACAATTGCACTACTTTTACTACAATCATTACTAGGTGGTACAGATTCTGGTGTTACAACAGAATTCCTAATCAAATCACTATTACTACAGTTACTTATGCTATCGTTAACAATATCCTTAGATTCCTTATTAGTCTTATCCGGTTTAATATCATTAGCATGAACAAACTTAATACTATCATTAATCTGAACTAAATAAGTTGCGTATCTAATTGTAGACTGAATGTAAAATCCGGGCTAAGTGCCAAATAATTCATTTTCGCGTTAGGTTGTGAAATACGTGCAATGTACCAAATGCAATTCCGTATAAAGTGGGCTATCATTAGTTTGTTGTGGAACTAGTTTTTAAAAAATCCGCTATGATGCGTGGTGTGCTATGAAGCACCAGCTGTTTGGTAAAAAACGGGCTA